CCCCTCTCCCCACACACGTCCACCCCCATCCTCACATCATTGCCAGTTTGTTGACCGTTTTGTTAAAATAATAATGATAATTTCATTTATATTGCTCATATTTACGCTCTACAACATGCTCTACGCGCTTACAATTATTATTACCCCAGCATTCCCTAGAACACACGGGAACATTTTCATCTTTTCGGGAAGCATACAGTGCAAGGTGCGGGTTCCATTCCCTCAAAAACTAACAAATTGACAAGATCGTTTGCAGTCTGTAGCCTGGTCCTCCTGCCCACGGGGGTGAAGTAAAAAAAAAATTCGTATAAGGCGCCTTTCCCAAGGACACAACGACGGGCCCCTGGTGGGTTCGTATCCACAACCTCACGGTTGCAAGTTGGAGAGCATAATCACAAGGCCACCGACGTCACATACAGGAAAGGAAAATCCACCTCCCACCCCATTCTACCCCCAAAAAACCAACCCAACATCCCCCCGTCATCCGTCGACGCTCATCGCCACGTTACTAACCATAGGATTGGAGAAGAACGGCATCACCCCCCCCCTCCCTCACCCAATCTCACACGCATACGTTGTCCCATGTAAAATCCTCAACCCCATCCACCTAATCTCGCCAATCCCCACAAACCCCCGTGAAAATCCCACACCTTATCCCTTGCCCATGTATTCATTACATTCTGTTTGTTGACTACTGCGCTAAGAAAGATCCAACCCTTTCCATACTTCAACCTCACACGTTCCCCATTTCATTGTCTTCCTCCATGCCCTCATCTCCTCAACACCATCCCACCCATTCCCCTGCATATCCCAAATCCCACCCTTCACATCAGAGGGAAGACATGGAACAATATCAAGAGGCTAGCCCAGGGCAGGGAAAGATGGAGAGTGTTTGTTCGTGACCTGTACACTGATGTAGGGTGAGAAAGGCATTGATGATGATGACCCTTCACATCATTTCTCTTTCCCCAATCCTTCACCCTACGTACTCCCCCCCCCCCTT